TTTTTTCCAGTGGTTTCTTAGATTTTGACTGAACAAACCAAACAAAAAGTGCAGCTTCACGATGTTCGCGTGTTTGCTTTCCCTGCTCTTTACAGTCACACGGCTTTTCTGTTTCCTGTTTTGTTGTTTTTCTCTCCCTGCAGCTCTGTCTCATTTCAGCGACAGTATCTTGGAGTACCTGGCCAACTTAGACAAGGCTCCAGATCCTTCAGTCAGAAAAGACACGTTCTCCAGTGACATCTATGCTGCTTTTGAAATCCTCTTCAATAACTGGTTACAAAGCAGAGAGCCCAAGGTAGGTTGATCGTGCAAGATGATATGAAATGCAGTGGACTATACAACTGAAAAACCACCTACGTTTTGCAAGAAGTCATGGGTTGAAGGAAGCTGAATCATTAAGGAAGCAGAAGTAAGCCATCCAAAGCTGCAATGACAAATAAAAAAATAAATGATAAACGCTAAATTAATTTTCTCAGCTTGTAAAAATACACAGAGAGAACACTTGGTATAATTTACTCTCCTATCCTGGAGAGACACTGTTTTATAGGGAAATTCCAAAAAAAAAAATTTTTTTTGAGTATTCTGGAAGGTATATTAATCTGTGTTACTGAGCCAAACAATTAAACCACTTGTTGCACAATTGGGAAGATACAACTGTTTATTAGAAGAGTATTGAGTTAAATTATCTCAGAAAGAGGCTTGTTCTGGGAACGAATATTTATTCAATCACAGGTTATTGATGTGGAGGTCATTCTTATTACACATAATATGTCCAAGTACTCACCTAATCTCTGTCATCTCTATCACCTCATATTCTGACTTTTCTTTGTATCTGTTTGGCTTCCAGTTGAGGCTGACAGTGGCTGAGGCGGTGGGATCAATGTGTCATCTGATGGCCAGCGATAAGCTGGAGGAACAGATTCCCAGACTTGTTCCTGCCATCCTGTCCCTGTACAAGAAAAACAATGAGCACTACATCATTAGCAAGGTGGGCACAGTGTGATGCATCGGTGTAGGGATTGTTTATTATGGGTTTTTGTAGAAAGTATAATTTATGTAAGGAAATGGAGGACCATCACTCTCTGAGCATCTCTAAACTCTGTCCTGGCTTTAAGTAGAAGTGCATCTTAAACTGAGTCTGAGCCTTTGCGTGTGTGTACCTGTTTGTTTTTCTAAACAGAGTCTGTGCCAAGTCCTAGATGCATCTGTCAACATGGGCAGCAGGGTGCTGGAGACACAACTGGAAGCTCTGCTCTTTGCACTGCACCAACAGGTACACTTTAAGTGCATTTCTTTGCTTCTTTGCATGGTAATAAATTGGTATCATTGATTGTGTAGTGTATTGATGAGAAACAAATGGTTGGAAGAATTGTGTCACAGTATTTCTGTTTGGTGTGAGAACTACTTATCGTATTGAAAGCACAAATCTGTGAATGAATGGACTGGGTTAATTCTTGCGAATTGCTCACCTGTGCTGCTTTTCTTAGTCGATGAATCAAATGACAGTAACTGTTACTGAGGTCACACATTTTCACATCCTTGTGACTCAGCTGACACTTGGCCTGATGCCTGCGTGTTGCAAAATTTCACCTCAACTACGTGAGTGATGGCATAATGTTACAGCAGCAGTGTCTGTTACAGTTCCTTCTGTAATTTTTATATATGTAATATTTAACGGTGCTTAAAAGCGCATGTTGCTGTTAAGAATGTGTTCCTACAACATTTTCAGTTTTTATTTTCAGCTGAGAAGTGTACCCAAAGTGAGAAAGTGGTGGCACATGAAGCTTTTCAAAAACAATAAACACATGTGACTTTGTGCTGTAAAAACAGACCATGTGTCATTAGTTCTTACTCAGACTGTTAATTTTTTTTTTATTATGGTTTTCAAAAATACACTGGTCCATGCAAAAATGAACTCATGTTAATATTCTCCCATTCTTCAGCAGCAGGAGAACACCATCATCCCTATATATGATACAGCTGCAGAAGAGCGTTTATACAAATGTTTTATTGCCTTTAGCTGCTTGATTTGCACACTGACTTGTAGATTGTGATATATAAATCACTCAGTATATTTTTAATATACAGATGTAGTCATTTGTATTAGGTAGATATACATTTCCTGGCTGTCACTGATCCAAACACACATCTGCACCCATGACACCCGAAGCCACAGAAACCAAATTAGAAAACTGTATTTTATCCATGCTGAATACCACATACGCTGTTATTAACACAGCTGTTTTAATACAAGGGATAAAGGTAATGGTAAAAATATTAAGATTATTTAGAATAATGTGACATGTAGCACAATTGTGTTATAGTGAGCCATTTTTAATGACATCTAAAATAATCTAATCTACAGTTACCATTATTTTCCTGATGTAACTAAAACTCACCAGAATAGACACCATGATGCTCTTCCCTTGTTTCTACCAGGTGTCTGCCCCTGTTGACTACAGTAACCCTCCTACTGTCAAGAACCACAATGAGGTCCTGCGCTGCTTCAGTTTGATTGGTACTAATTTTACTTTTATTTTTCTTCGCATGTTGATGTTGAGTGCAAAGTGACAGCTGAATGTTGTCCGGTTGCGTCAAGCTTTTCTATCTGGTTTAGCTCTAGAGAGTCACAAGAGCAGTAATGAGATGTGCATTAGTGTGTCAGACCCAGTTTCCACCACAGGATAATTGCATTAACTGTGGCAGTTTGTGGACTGCTCTTATCCTCTGTCTTGCTTTGCTTGCCTTTTTGACCTGATTATTACATCTTTGTCAATTTATGCATTTCACATTTTAATTTTCTTTTTTTTTAAACTTCTAATTCTCTCCCTTTAGCCAACTCTTTCCCAGATCGCCTGGTTATGTTTGTTCTTCAGAAGTTGGAGAACAGTAATGAGAGAAGCAGGCTGGGCTCCTTGGCTGTCCTCCGTCACCTCATCAACTCCTCCAGTAAGGAAATACAATAACAGACCCAAGCATGACACACACTATTCCCTGATCACACACTTGCCTGTTTTACGGCACACAGACATTTCAAGACAAGTAAGAAGCAAATTGTTCAGTTTACCTAAATCACGTGATAGTATTTATGTATCTATGTGTGCATATACGTGTTGATTCATTTGATTATTTAAGACTTTACCTTTATTAGTACCTGTGCATTACAGCTTCTACTATGGAGAGCAAGAAGCTGCTGATTCTGGCCAGCATCAGACAGCCGATGGCTGACCACAGCAACAAGGTAACACACATGTACACACACACACACACACACACACACACCTTTTTATTATTATTTTTTTGACTATCATGCTGTTAGATGGATGAACATATTCTTGTTCTTGTGTTTTACTCTTTTCCTTAAGCTTTTAGTTGTTTAGACAATGATGTCATTGTTTCCCAGGTGAAGAAGCGTGTGGTCCAAGTGATCAGTGCCATGGCTCATCACGGCTACTTGGAGTTAGAGGGAGGAGAGTTACTGGTTCGATTCATAGTTCAACATTGTGCTTTACCTGACACGTATCAGGTACAACTCCTTTTGTGTTCATTTCCCTTTTTTTT